TGGCTTAACCCACTGTGCCACAACACCAGCTTCTTCCATGAACTTTCTGAAGTACCCTTGTATATCTTAGTTGAGGGCTTTTTTTTTCCTTTTAATTCATGCTATGCTTGTGTTCCTTTTTCCCAATTTTTGAATTTTTTATTTAGAAATTTCAGATTTACAGAAAAGCTGCAAGAATACCATAAAGAATTGTCATATGCTCTCACTTGTTCCTCAAATGTTAACATTTGGGGCTGCTACTGTGGCATAGCAGGTAAAGCTGCCACCTGCAATGCTGGCATCCCATATGGGCGCTGGTTCAAGTTCCAGCTGCTCTACTTCAGATCCAGCTCTCTGCCATGGCCTGGGAAAGCAGAAAATGACCCAAGTCCTTGGGGCCCTGCACCTACATGGGAGACCCAGAGGAAGCTCCTGGCTCCTGGCTTTGGATTGGCCCAGCTCCAGCTGCTGGGTAGGGCCAGGCTGAAGCTGGGAGGTCTGGAACTCCATCCAGGTCTCCCATGTAGGTACAGAGACTCAAAGACTTGGACCATCCTCTGCTGCTTTCCCAAGTACACTGGCAGGGACTGGATCAGAGTGGAGCAGCCAGAACTCGAACCAGCGTCCATATGAGATGCAGGCACCGTAGGCGGTGGCTTTACCTGCTATGCTACAGTGCCAGCTCTGACAGTGCTGTTGTCATTTTTTAAAATAGATTCATGGCCAGCACCACGGCTCAATAGGCTAATCCTCCGCCTGCGGCACCGGCACACCGGGTTCTAGTCCTGGCTGGGGTGCCGGATTCTGTCCTGGTTGCCCCTCTTCCAGTCCAGCTCTCTGCTGTGGCCCTGGAAGTGCAGTGGAGGATGGCCCAGGCCCTTGGGCCCTGCACCCACATGGGAGACCGGGGGAGGTGCCTGGCTCCTGGCTTCGGATCAGCATGGTGCGCCGGCCTCAGCGGCCATTGGAGGGTAAACCAACGGAAAAGGAAGACCTTTCTCTCTGTCTCTCTCTCTCTCTCACTGTCCACTCTGCCTGTCAAAAATAAAATAAAAAATTTAAAAAAAAGATTCATGACACTGGCTTTTTTTTTTCAGTTTATTTTTATTTACTTCAAAGACACAGTGAAAGAGAGAGACACAGAGAGAGAGAGAGAGAGAGAGAGAGAGAGAGAGATGTCTTTCATTTACTGCTCCACTCCCTAAATGCCCACAACAGCCAGGACTGGGCCAGTCCAAAGCCAGGAGCCCTGAACTCCATCTGGGTTTCTCATGAGTGCGGCAAAGGATCGAAGTACTTAAGCCATCATCTGCTGCCTCCCAGGGTGTGCACCAGCAAGAAGCTGATCAGAAACAGAAGCAGGACTCGAACCCAGGCACTGATTTGGGACGTGGACATCCCAAGAGGGGGCTTCACCCACTGCTAAAACGCCCACCTAACAGTGCTGTTTCTATACATATGCCCAGGCTGCCTGGGTTCAAGTATTTTTTTCTAAAGATTTATTTATTTATTTATTTATTTGAAAGTCAGAGTTAGCGAGAGAGGTCTTCCATCTGCTGGTTCACTTCCCAGTTGGCCACAATGGCCATCCAAAGCCAGGAGCCAGGAGCTTCTTCTGGGTCTCCCACATGGGTGCAGGGGCCCATGGACCTGGGCCATCCTCTACTGCTTTCCTAGGCCATAGCAGAGAGCTGGATCGGAAGTGGAGCAGCCAGGACTCAAACCAGCACCCATATGGGATGCCGGCACTGTAGGCGGCTTTACCCGCTACGCCACAGCGCCAGCCCCAGGGTTCAAGTCTTGACTCAGATCTTGAGCGTGTTATCCAGCCTCACTTTCTTCAGTTATAAAGTGGAGGTAACGATAGTACCTACCTTAGGAAGGTCAACTGAGAATTAAATGAGCGAATCTACGAAAGCACTGAGAACGCTGACAGCACACAGTGCCTGTGTAACATGAGTTAGTATTATCATCATTTCATTTGGAACCTGAAAGGCAAGTCTGAGTAAGCCAGGAGGAAGGGAGGAAGAGAAGAAATCCCAAGCAGAGAAGAGTAACATACGCAAAAGCCCAGGGGCAAAACAGCTGCCTGGTTAGGGCAGGGCTGAAAGGCCAAGGTCTGTTAGCACTTTAGGAAGCTAATGGGCAGACACAGCACCAGGCGAGGCTGGGAAGGCTAAGAGGGGGACCATAACGTGAGACCTCGCAGGCCGGGTTACAGAGGCTGGACTTCATCCTGGCCGTCAGAGGAGACCTGAGAGGGGAATGAACCGTTTACACTCGCAGTGTAAGAAGCTCTCTCCAGCTGCGTGGCTGGAGCAGGGACAAACAGATGCAAGGAAACCAGTAAGTCTGGACCAGAGGCTTGGAGGTCAGACTACAGCAGAGGCAGGAGGGATGGAAGGTTGAAGAAACAGAAGATAGATCTAACGAGACTTGGGCATGTGTGTGTGTGTGTGTGTGTGTGCTGGGTGAAGCAGCAGTGACAGAGGGGCACTAAAATATCTGAGGAAAGAATAAATTCCTATGTTCCTGCATATTCTTTTTTTTTTTTTTTTAATTTATTTACTGAGATTGGGGCCGGCGCTGTGGCACAGTGGGTAAAGACGTGGTTTGCGGTGCTGGCATTCCATATGGGCACCAGTTCAAGTCCCGGCTGCTCCATTTCTGTTTCAGTTCTCTGCTGTGTCCTGGGAAAGCAGTAGAGGATTGCCCAAGTCTTGGTCCCCTGCACCCACATGGGAGACCTAGAAGAAACTCCTGGCTTGGGATTGGCCCAGCTCCAGCTGTTGCAGCCACTTGGGGAGTGAACCAGTGAATGGAAGACCCTTCTCTCTCTCTCTCTCTCTCTCTCTGCTTCTCTTCTCTTCTCTGCCTTTCAAAAAAAATAAAATGAAATCTTTTTAAAAAATCGCTTACTGGCCGGCGCCACAGCTCACTAGGCTAATCCTCCGCCTTGTGGCGCCGGCACACCAGGTTCTAGTCCCAGTTGGGGCGCCGGATTCTGTCCCGGTTGCCCCTCTTCCAGGCCAGCTCTCTGCTGTGGCCAGGGAGTGCAGTGGAGGATGGTCCAAGCGCTTGGACCCTGCACCCCATGGGAGACCAGGAAAAGCACCTGGCTCCTGCCATCGGATCAGTGCGGTGCGCCGGCCGCAGCGCGCCGGCCGCGGCGGCCATTGGAAGATCAGCACGGCAAAGGAAGACCTTTCTCTCTGTCTCTCTCTCTCACTGTCCACTCTGCCTGTCAAATAATAATAATAATAATAATAATTAAAAATCGCTTACTTATTTGGAAGGCAGAATAACCAAGAAGAAAAAAGAGAGAGAGAGATTTTCCATTTGCTGGTTCATTCTCCAGATGGGTGCAAGAACCAGAACCAGACCAGGCCAAGGAAACCAGGACCAGGAACTCTATCTGGGTCTCCCATGTGGGTAACATGGACCCAAGTAATTGAGTCATCATCCACCTCCTTCCTGGGCGCTTAGCCGGAAGCTGGATTGGAAGAGGCATACATGGAACTTGAACTGGCTCTCCCATGTGGGAGTTTAATACCCTGTGCTCCAGCACCTGTCCCTGCCATACTCTTTTGCTGAACAAAATGTCTTTCTTCTATTCCATCTTTCCAGGTACAATTTCTCCACAAAACTATCTCTGATTGTCCCCTTCCCCAGGAATGTTCTAGAAATACAGAGCTGAACATTCTTTTCTATAAACTGCTAAAGTTAATTTGTCTTCCTTTATTTCACAGGGAGACAGAGACGGAGACAGGATCCTCCATCTGTGCATCCACTCCCCAAATGCCCACAACAGTCAGAGCTGGTTCAGATGGAAGCCAGCAACCTGGAACTTAGGGTCCTCCACATGGGTGGCAGGGAGCCAAATCCTCAAAACACCACCACCTGCTTCCCAGGGGGTGTGCACACCAGCAGGAAGCTGGAATCAGAAGCAGGGCCCGGACTAGCATCTAGCCACTCTGATAGAGGATGCTGGCATCCCAAGTGGTGTTTTTCTTTTAAGATTTATTTTTATTTATTTGAAAGGAAGAGTTATAACAAGAGAGAGAGAGAGAAAGAGAGCGAGATCTTCCACCCACTGGTTCACTCCCCAAATGGCCACAACAGCTGGGGTTGGGCCAGGCCAAAGCCAAGAGCCTGGAACTCCATCCGGGTCTTCCACGTACTTGGGCCATCTTCTGCTGCTTTCCCAGACACACTAGAGGGAACTGAAAGAAGTGGAGCAATTCAGACTGGAACCAGCACCCACATGTTAGTGTCCCAGGCAGTGGCTTAATCTGAAATGCCAGACCACCCCTACCCACCCTCCAAGTATTGTCTTAACCACTGAGCCAAACACCCACCTCCCACAACTTCTATGCACATTCCTCAACTATTTTTTTTTTTTTTTTTTGACAAGCAGAGTTAGACAGTGAGAGACAGAGAGACAGAGAGAAAGGTCTTCCTTCCGTTGGTTCACCCCTCAAATGGCTGCCACGGCTGGCACTGCACCAATCCGAAGCCAGGAGCCAGGTGCCTCCTCCTGGTCTCCCATGCGGGTGCAGGGCCCAAGCACTTGGGCCACAGCAGAGAGCTGGACTGGAAGAGGATCAACTGGGACAGAATCCAGCGCCCTGGGGACTAGAACCTGGGGTGCCGCCGCCACAGGTGGAGGATTAGCCTAGTGAGCTGTGACACCAGCCTCCTCAACTATTTTTTAAAAAATATTTTATTTATCTGAAACGCAGAGTTACAGAGAAAGGGAGAGAGAGATCTTCCACCTGCTGGTCCACTCTCCAAATGGGCTCAACAGCTGGGGCTGGGCCAGGCTGAAGCCACAAGCCAGGAGCCTCATCCGGGTCTCCCACATAGGTGCAGGGCCGCAAGCACTTGGGTGTAGTAGCAGGGAGCTGAATTGGAAGTGGAGCAACTGGGACTCAAAACAGTGCCCATATGGGATGCCAGTGCTACAGGCTGCAGCTTAACCTGCCAAACCCCCAAAACCGAACATGCTGGAGACACAGTACCTGGAGAGGAGTTGGCAACTCCCTGAAGACAGAGAGACTTCTCAGTCAACTTCTCATCTCATCCACCGCACTGCCTCCAGGGCCACACTTGCAGAACCGGCCCTCAGACTACGTGGGTGCGACACTCCCAAGCAGCTCATGCCAATACACAGCGCGGGACCGAAGCAAAGGCTTTCCTCCATCGTGTTCTTTGCTCATCACAGAACTCCTAAGGCGGGTGCCACTTCCCGGGGAACAAACTCAGAGCTAGACTAACACGTCCAAGGTCGCACACAAGAAAGCAAACGGCGGGTGCTCAGACTCCGTGGTTCCAAATGGAATGTTCTTTCCACCTCCCCCCCTCCACAGAGGTTAAACACTCACATGGACCCAAGAGAAACGTGAACTCTTGGGAGCACCTTAAGTGCCACTTCTGCAAATCCTCCCCAGCTTCAAGTATTAATTTACTCAGAAATGTTTACTGAGCACTAACTACGAGGGTGCTTCATTTGTGGAAAACAGAATCCAAAGATAGTTTCTTCTGGGCACGGTATTTTGAAATTCATGCATTTAAGGGAATCTTGAAAAAGTCTATGGAAAATGTGCATGATGAGCGACTATGCATGGATTTCCAAACACACTCTCCAAATACACATCTCCTAATTCCAGTTTTCCACGATGTTTTTTTTTTAAATGCTCTGGTCCGTGCCAAGTATGGCACCTAGTGTTGGGAGTACCGAAGTGACCCAGGCAAGAGGTGCTTGCTGTCTTGTTCAGGAAGCTGGTCAAACAGGGAAACGAATGCATAAAGAAAATACAAGGGTGATACGAGAAAAAAATACATATATGCGTCCTGTTTGTGGGTACTACTTCAGAACGGCGGGTCAGAAAAATTAGCATTTGACACCAAGCTTGGTCTTCAGTAGGCGCCTAACGAAAGATACTTTTCCACAGGCCCATTCCGGAATTCCACGAAAAGAAAGAAAAAGAAAAGCGTACTTAGCAAGGAGGCCGCTCCCACGTTGCTGACTCTTTGCAGCCACCCGGACGAAAATGGACAGTTCCCGGCCAATTAATTAGGCCGCCACCTTCAGAGAGCGCCGCGGGTCCTCCCAGCCGCCAGGGGGCGACGTGGCCGGAGGCGCTGCCAAATTGACATCGGGAACCGGTCAAGCCCTCAACGCCTCGAGTCTAGGCAGAGGTTAAGGGAGGGAGGCGCCAGAAAGCTCTGAGACCCCAGGGAATCGTGAAGTCACTAGGCCTCTCAAGGAGAAGGCGTCCTGAAGTTCACAAACCCCCACTACTGACACAAGCCCTCACTCCCTCGGGGAAAGACCTCTTCCGGCGCCTTTAAACCCGGAAGTAACGCTGCGTCCAATCCTGGCCCTTCTTCCGTACTTCGCGCCGCGGCTACCGAATCAGCGCCCAGGTGAGGCGCATGCGTCGTCAGTGACCTTTGATCCGCAGACACCCACTCGTCCGCCCCGCCCCTTCGCCCCGCCCTCGCGGTGAAGATGGCGCTCTCCAGGGTGTGCTGGGCTCGAGCTGCTCTCTGGAGTTCGGCTGTCACCCGTGGACCTTTTGTCAGCCGGAGGCTGCAGCTTGGTCACTCTTGGGTGGCCCCTCGGTGAGGGACCTGGAGAGAGAAAAGCGTTGTTGACGTCCAGGCCCTTGCAAGTGGCTCCACCTTACTTGCATGCTGTCTTCATTTTCAGGGTTCCCCGCCCTGGCCCCGGGATATTTTTTTTATTATTATTCTCAAGATGCGCACCCCGATCGGGTTAGAGACCTGACTTCCTGACTATCAGCTTTCAGTGCTCCGTGTTGCTGGTCTACGCGTCCGCCCTGAGTGTTCCGAATCCATCTCTCAGCCCCGTTTTCGGCTCAAGTTTAATAGCTACTGTGTTGATTCCACCTCTCTCTCTAAGCCTTCCCCGTGGTTCAGATTGTCGTAGAAGCTTTGCAGTCTTTCCGGCTCCGTTTCACTGCCTCTCTTTCTTTCCTGCCTGTCCTCCGCCCTATAGTCTGTATCCCTAGGCCCCAAGATTTCTTCCTTGATTTCAGGAGCTTCAGGTCTTGGCATACGTTCTCTGAGGCTTGAGTTGTATGTTAGGGACCCCCAGGTTGTGCGGGGCTGGGGGTGGGGGGCTTCTTGGACTGGTTCCCAGATAGTCTCTCTTGATCTTCCTTGTAGGTCTTGCAAGCTTCACTTTTCTCCAAAGGCAGATGTGAAGAGTTTGATCTCTTATGTGGTGACCAAGACAAAAGCGATTAATGGAAAATACCATCGTTTCTTGGGCCGTCATTTCCCCCGCTTCTATGTCCTGTATACAATCTTCATGAAAGGTAAACACAGAACTACAGTAGAAGTCCTTGAGTCAGCTCTTGGGCCGCGTCGGCAAAGGAAATAAATGAGATTGTTTTGCAAGTTGTGCCCTGAGGATGTGAGCTAGGATGTCTTCTGTTTCATAGAGGCCTGATTCTTATAAATTAGAATGTGAGGATGTTTCTGGAAAGATGGGATGAGAAACAGCTTCTGACAACACAGGAGAGGGAAGAGAAAGTAGGTTTCTTGTGGGTAACCACACACCTGGCTATAGTTGATCGCCCTGTTTTTATCAGCTGACCTGGCCCATTCAAAGGGGAAGTCTAAATGCAGGTCCCAAATCTATCTTAGGTAGCATGTTGTACTAAACAGTACTAATTGGGTTCTGAATGTTGTGGTTCAGACATCTACATCCTAGGACACCTTATAAGCAGTGCCCTGTCTACTCCATAGTCAGGGTCCCGCATCAAATCTCAGCTTGTCACTTGCTGGCTGTGTGATTGGGTTCGTTCCCTAACCTCTGTGTCCCTTGGTTTTCTCAAAATCTGTTAAAAATAAGAATAGACCCTATTGACTACATGGTTGTGATCGTTAAATAAGTCACTGCCAGGAGTCTCCAGACATTTCATAGAAAATGTGTATTATGAGAAAACTATACTTGGGTATCATAATCTTTGTACCAAACCAAACATCTTTTAATTCCATTTTTTCCATGCACTTTTTGACATACTCTGATATGTGAAAGGTACTAAGTAAGTTCCCATTAAGTGTTAGTTGTTATAGTGTGTGCTTTTATGATAATGCCAATTATGATAAAGTACCACACTAGTCACCTTGGAAAATTATTCTAATTTTACAATTATTTATTCTTATCTAGAGAGATAGAATTGGCTGTTTTGTCTGCCCTTAGGCTTATAACTAGGACTTAATAAGAGAAAGGTTTGAAAGCATTTTGGTTTGTTTTAAAACCTCTAATTGAAAACTTGTAAACATACATATGCAAAATTAAAATAATGTAATGAACTTCCATGTACTCAACCTCACTTCAACATTATTAACTTAAGACAGTCATTCTTACCTCATTTAAATGCTAGCTTTCTCCTTCATTTTTGAAGTCAATCTGGATATCACTTAAATTGTAAATATACTATGACAAGACTTTTAAAAAAGCTAGTCTTGGCCGGCAACGCGGCTCAATAGGCTAATCCTCCACCTAGCGGCGCCGGCACACCGGGTTCTAGTCCCGGTCGGGGCACCGGATTCTGTCCCGGTTGCCCCTCTTCCAGGCCAGCTCTCTGCTGTGGCCCGGGAAGGCAGTGGAGGATGGCCAAAGTGCTTGGGCCCTGCACCCCATGGGAGACCAGGATAAGTACCTGGCTCCTGCCATCGGATCAGCGCGGTGCGCCAGCCGCAGCACGCCAACCATGGCGGCCATTGGAGGGTAAACCAACGGCAAGAGGGAAGACCTTTCTCTCTGTCTCTCTTTCACTATCCACTCTGCCTGTCAAAAAAAAAAAAAAAAAAAAAAAAAAAAAGCTAGTCTTTGGTAAAGGTAGGAATTTCTATAGTACGAAGCCTTAACATAGAATTATAAAAATATATTGGATTATATTATTTATAAAAGTGTTCCAAGAAAGTAGGTAAGTTAATGTCTGGCTGGGTGATCTCTAGGGCTAATCGAGCAAGACTCTCTGAAGTCAAGTGAGCTTGATTTTGAAAGACAGGATGAATAATGAGTCCCAACTTAGCTTGAAGAGAGGTGTTGTGCTAGGGGAAAAAGGCCGGGTTGGCCTCATAAGAGTTCTGGGTTACCTCCATTAAAGCGTTTATGCAGTGTAATGTTGGGGAGGCTGAACGTGTGTGTGAGTGTGTGCATGTGAGTGTGTGTGTGTGAGTGAACATAGGGTAGGAAGCTCTGATAAGATTCAAACTGGGATAACGTCACACTGTGTCTTCTACTTTGATGAGGCAGGGTTGCAAATGTTATGGGCGGACGCCAAAAAGGCCAGAAGAATAAAGACAAATATGTGGAAACACAATATAAAGTTTCATCAGCTTTCATACCGGGAGATGGAGCATTTGAGACAGGTACGGGCTGGGGGGCATATCTCCGGAAGTTTATGGTGATACAATCACGATCAATCAAAATCTCAAGCTTTTCTCCTTTCCTTTCTTGCTCACCACTGATCAAGCTTTCACCCTTTGCAATAAGATCAAAATGTTGAGCAGAACGAAGGCATGAGGTGATTCGTCAGAAATGGGTTCATCGAGAATTGAGCCCCATTGAGTTTCTGGTACCTTCTGAATGAGCCGTGCAAACACTGACATCCAGTGCATTTCTGAACGTGCAAACACACGCAAGGATCCAAAGGGCAGTAGGAAGTAGTATTGGGTGGTGACTTGATAAGGTGGTTTTGGACCTGAACAAAAATCTAGAATTCCTGCAAACTAGGAAGAGTGCACTGAGAGAGTTGGCATTATGTCAGTCCTTGTACCAGGTAATATCTGGGATACAACAGTTGATGTAGGTGTTTAGTTCACTGGTGAAGCTGCTACCTGGGGATGCCCACATTCCATATCAGAGTCCCTGGGTTTGAGTTCCGGTTCCATTGCTGATTCCAGTGTCCTGCTAATGCACACCCTGGGAGGCAGTGGATAATGGCTCAAATACTTGGGCACCTGCCACCCACCTGGCTTTGGCCCGGCCCAACCCCAGCTGTCTCTGTCTCTCTGCCTGTCAGCTAAATACATTTTTTTAAAATTTAGGTGAATATATCAGAGGCCCTGCCCTTATGGAACTTACCACATCTCACTTCTGGGCTGTAGTAGAAGTACACTGTGCAGTGGGGTGGAGGGAGTTGTGCATTACATTATCAGGACGTGCATGGGTTAAACTGCATCTGTGTTTATTTCTGTGTAGTTTCGCCGAGACGTCACCAAGTGTCTTTTCCTAGGTATTATTTCCATCCCACCTTTTGCCAACTACCTGGTCTTCTTGCTAATGTGAGTACGGACTGTGTATCCCCAGCATCTTGAAGATATATGGATGTTTTCAAAGCTAAAAGTTATTTTAAAAAGAAAGAATGATGCACTGAGGAAGTTAGACAGAGGAACTTCCTGTCCCACTGTTACCCCCTGATCCCAAGGGGTTCATCAGAGCCACTCAAGCTGCTGTTCGGTTAGCCGGACGCTTCCAGCCGTAGATGCCGATAACCTAGAGTTTCCCTGTCTCATGGCTTAGCCGCCATGGGTGATGGGAAATGAGATAAAGACCTTCTCCCTCATCCCTAGAGCCAGCAGCCTACTCCCTGAGAGTCACAGCAATTTGGGATGAATTATTTTTTTTCCTCCAGAAAAAGATGCTGCTTATATTCTGTTCATCTGTCTTTATTGCTTCCTAGCCAAAGATGACACTTCCTGCTGTCTAGCAGAAACCTCAAGGCTTAAAAGCCTAAGACATGGTCTTCATGATTATTGGGGTGGGAATCAAGGGGATGATTGGTTTTTCTCTTCCACGTGATGCTGACAGAGGCTCCTCCCCACAGTGATATATTTCAGTCCAGAGGGTCCAAGGTCACTCTCAAGTTCAGTGCCTTGGCAGGGATTCCTGGAA